TGAGGTTTTGATGTCCTTAAGAATATATATTTGCGGTATAAGTACCAAAAATCATCTCAATATATTTTTACAGCTCCTTCTCAGGAGCTCTGTTGAGAACGTCTCTAGGTTACATATGTAACCATGGTTCCCTGAGGGAACGAGACGCTGCGCAGAGATCGCTTTGGGAACGCCACTGCGTGACCGCGTTCTGAAGCACGTGTGAAATCAGTCCAATGGAGCAGCGAGACGTCACGAGCAGGGTGACGTAAGCACCAGAAAGTATAAAAGCGCATCCAGCAGAGCGCAAACCAGCTTATAGATTTTTTAAATCACCAATACATTTTTAGTTTTCAAGATTTTTTTTTTACCAAACTTTGTATAAAGATAATTCTCAACTATGTTATAACAGAATTATTTGATATACCATTTGTCTTTATGCAAAATGTGTCTAAAATGGCCACAAACAGGTTTTCTCATTATATATAATGTATCTATAAACTAGATCTAATTTGCATATTAATGTGTTTTTGCGGCAACATGTAATGAAAAAAGAAGTGTAATAATTGGAGTAATAATTGACAAGATTTTCATAATAATATATAATATGACTGAAGGCGGTGACTGTGTAGTTCTGACGTCAACTTTTTACGGAAGTCACAACGGTTCGTGAAAAATCACTGCTACTTACTGCCGTTAACTTATCGCCTAATGGCACTTATTTAACGCCTGGCGGCATTATGAAAACGGCGTTATAATATTGATACGGCGGTGAAAAGCTTGTGAATTCTGAACCATTTGGCTTTCGATATGTGACCACATTATAGATGAGCTCAGACTAGAAATACTGTACCTAACGTTGGTTTCGTACGGATTAATTTATCAGAGAATATTTGTTTTCTACATTACTTTTTTTCATGTCATTACATTGTTTAGAGAATTAAAAATAGTTAAAAAATATAAATAAATTAAATAAAAATAAATTTTGATTTGAAACCCCATAACATTTTCCTGAGATGTTGATTCATGACACACAGTTTAGAAAATAGTCAGATTTAAATGATAATTACAAAATAATTTTTTTTTTTTTTTTTACAAAAGCACAATATTTCGTTGATATTTTGAGTGTATACAAATAAAAGTAGACCTTCTACAGTTTCAAATAATGTTTTACTCTTATCTGTATAAATATTACAAAACATTTTAAGTTATTTTCGCTGTTATCAGGGGGAAAATGCAAGTGATCGTTCAAGTTGTTTTTATACTTTTATTTTGTTATTTTCAGTCAATATTAAATTACTAAAATAACTACGAGTTTCACTTTGTAGTGTATTTTTAGGTTTGACAACTTAAAAAAGCAAAGTAAACTTGAAAGTAACTTGAAAGTAAAGTAATTAGTAATCTGATTACTTTTTAAATGCAGTAATCAGTAATGTAATCAAATTACAATTTTAAAGAATAAATTAGTCATTTGTAGTGAATTATTTTTTTGAGTAAAAAAAGTACCCAACACTGAAGATAGATAGATAGATAGATAGATAGATAGATAGATAGGACAGATCTGATAGACACAGTTAGAGTTGGATTCAGACTGCAATTATGAATAAACTTGGACGCGGACAAACTCGGGTGGTGTTGGTGAACATGAAAGATTAAAAACATAACAACGTAACAACATAAAATGAAGAAAAAAAAAACATTACTAAATGTCTTCCACTCAAGCTCAATTCGTTAAAGTCTAGGACTTGACTCGGACTTGGACAAGGTGGGCTCGGACCCCACACTACAGACCGACCGACAGACAGATAGCGCATTTTCATTTATAACGGGCGGTGGTTTGCCACAGCAGGGAGAAATATGCAGAGTCATCCTCCGTTCTGTTCTCTGTAAATGGTGGCATGTGTGCTGCACACTAACAGAAGTGACCCACTAGGGTCCAGTGCTTGTCTGGTGACTTTGACAGTTATAAAACCCTTGTGAGACAAGAGCAAATGCCAATAAATATAAATCTGTCATTTTGAGTAAATGCCAATAACAAGGTATTCTGGGTAATGGTGATATGGGTCATCCCTCTTAGGACAACATTTCCCTATTCCTTCTGTCTGATTCATTGTAACTTAACCTATATTTGAACACTTGAATGGATCATTCTGGAATGTCAAATGTGAAGATAATTTTCTGAAATAGATAAAATATTTTCCTCTATTTTAAAATAATAATTAAGATGTGTACATTCACATCAATGCAATGTCAATATTCAATGTTCACACCATATTACATTTTTAGCGTGATAAAATTTAACGTTTTTTTTTACAAGGTACATTTTTACAAACTTGACACATGGGTTTTAAACTAAATTTTTTAAAGTGTCCTTTTTTCTTTCTTTTTTTCATGACCACTCTTATTTGTCAATGTCTGTCTTTTTTTCCTTTTTCTTATAGTAAAGAGTGCCTTGTGAGCTCTTCAGGGAATGACAATACAGAAAACGGCCTCCCGGGATCCAAAGGAGACAGCAAACCGACACCAAAGGCATGAAAAGAGCATGTGTGTGTACATATATGAGCATATGTATACATGCATACATAGTCATAACAGAATGAAAGCAAGTCATAACAATGGACAGTTTTATTCTCTTTATCTCATGAGAAAAAATGCTACATATAAATATGTGGAAATATATATTTTAGATTGTGCTTGAGGAAAAATACAAAGTGCTGCAGGCTGGATCACACACCCTTTGCTGGTCTTAAAAGTCATAAAAAATATTCAGAAAGCAGATGATGGTAGACGCTTCGGTGTGCTTGCATTCTGTTCTTGTCTGTGAGACACAGCACACACACACTGCCTTCTTCACGAACTGCCATATCCTTTCGATGCTCGACAGCACAAGAGACCCACATAACAAAATGTTTGCGATAAACTTCCAGTGCAACTTTACAAATCTTCACACTGCATTACAAACGATCCCGAGGTGGAATCTCTCACAAGCGGACAAGTCAGTAGCAAAACAAACACAGAAACGTGTGTTCCGGAAAATACTTAACAACTTAAACATTAAAAACCAAGGGTGCCTCTTCAAATTGGAATATGTTTACCAACAATTCAAGCAGCTAAGCTAATCTGATTATTAACCGCTCCCACTAATTTTACAAGTGATATTGAGGTCATAAAGAGCAGGATGCGAGTGCACTTGAAGGGCAGAAACACACTCTACGCAATAGCACCCCTTGTGGCAATGCTGATATTACAACACATACATTCTGACATATTTTCTGTGTGAAAATAAGGTTGTGTAGAGTGTTTTTCATGGCTAATGCATTATTTAAAATGAAGTATAAATAAAAGCACTTACCAGAGATGCAGATAAGGTGTGTATATCCAGCATCCAGCCCAGCACGGTGTATTCTATTTATTTCTTTTTCATTTTTTTCTGCTTTAGATAAAACACAGGTGCCTGTTAATGCTTTCAAGCTCCACATGCTTCCTGGGAGCCTTCAAATGCTATATAAATAAGTTAATTAAACAATGCTCACATCAAAAAAAAAAAAAAAAAGACCCAAAAAAATAAATAAAATCCCTACAAAATAAACACATTAAAATATAAAGACAATCCCCAGAAACCAACTCCCTGTATAAAATGAATGATCTTCTGATGCTGCTTTCACCAATAACTTTTCCTAATGCATGTGAACGATTTTATACAGTACATCTAGAGTACTATGTATCCATTTCTCCGAATCATGTTCTCCTGTCTCTTCTCACATGACTGATCAATCTGTGCTTGTCGTATACAATGTCACAGTTCATCTTGTACGTATCCAACATACAGACATGAAGGGCCACTGTAGTTAACTGGTAAAGCTTATCATGACATCCAAACTTCACAGGACACAATATTGTTACTAACTGCTAATGTTGACATTTAGCATCCGAACTAGCAAGCTAGCAACTTCAGTGTGCTAAACTGCACCAATCCTCACAGATGCTGTGCTAATACCTATGTTTTCATATCATCGTACAAAGACACAAGACTTCTGTGACAAATTATAATAAATAGTAATACCTCACATGCCTCTCAATGGCTAATTAAAGTGCACATGTTACTAGCATAAACCTCTCAAATCTTCTCATAGATCAGATTAGCTTGATGCTAATTCAAGAAAACAGACGGATGGTGGAAAATACTTGTGGGATTGTGTTTGCTAGACGTTCTGGAGCTGCAAAGCGAACTCTGTTTATCAAAACAAGCCAACTTCCCAAATCTTTCAGTAGTTATTTAAAATTCAAGTGCCAAAACAGAACTGCAAGTAGAATGGTGGATGATTTACTGTTGCTTCCATCTTGTTTCATTTGTCTTCCTCTTTCCTTTTGTATCGGAAACCCCATAAATACGCAATGCTCTTTCATATCCATATATGGGCTAAGTATAAAAGTATCGACACATTCATAACATGCGATGAATGTCACTTTGCGATTACACCGCAAAAAAGAAATTAAAAAAATGCAATGAAACTCTACTAGTCTTCCGCCATAACCCAAAGATGAATGTACACAGTGGTTGTAGTTATGGCAGAGTTCAAAGGGGTCGTTTCTGGGCACTTTATTCATAAAGATATACGTAACAGTGTTTTGAAAGTCTTCCATATCACTTGACTCTCTTTTAGAAATCAGGGGCTTTGGCAATCTCAACTGTTTGGGATTCTTTGACAGAGCGGTATGAAATCCTAGCTTGAAATTCAAGTATTTATTGATGTTTTCATTGAATTCCTTTGAATTGCATCCATAAATGTGTGTTAAAATCAGCCGTGCTTTGGAGAAAGGGTTTGGTGCCGCTCTGTCTGTCAGATGTACAGTAATGTGGTTAGCGTTGAGTGTCCTTACTGTTGCCGAGCTGTTCACATTGCCTTTTTGATTCATGTATGGCAGAATGTTTTACCATGTTATGCTTCTTACAGCTTGTTGCCTTTTGTCATTAGCAGCTATAGTATTTCTGATGAAACGATCACATAAACAAGGAGATTACGTAGATCAGCAATACTGTAAAAAAAAGGAAAATGTAAAAAAAAAAAAAAACTTGAACTTTTATTAGAGCTTCTTTTTATTATTTAGCTATTTTTAGCTATGTTAACCTAATTCCTGTTCTGCTTTGCTTATGTATTTTTCCCCCCCTAGATATTTTGCACTTATTTGAATCAGATGTTTATTGATAATGAAATAGTGAGGTGGTTCTCAACCGGTTTTGCTTTGCATTGGACATCAAGTGGCCTAAACCATATTGCTTTCAGAATCATGCATTGAAATGTCTAAATATTTCCATGAACTGGAAACTCCAAATATAGTATTTAATGCAGTTTTGTTCATGGTTTCGAAAGTCACATAACCTGTCAATGTTGGAATCTGTCTTACTAGAGTGGGAGGTAAAGATTTGCCAAAATGCCACAGAATTCTTTGCATGATCCTATTTTGATGGAATAATGCATTTAGTATTTTTCATTCCGTCTGTGCTGTAAAAAACTGACCTGCGATCCATTTTTGGTTGGCAGCCAGTTGAGAAATCAAGCGTAGCGTTAGTTCTGGCAGGTCACGTTAGTCAAGCTCGCATTAGCTGACATTCAGCTGATCCCCATCTACCTATGGGACTACGCCACCTATCTAAGCATTCATATATAAGGTCCCTCGGTATTATCAATTTTTAAGCTTTTCATCCCAGTTACAGTTACATGATGCAGCTAAACCATCAGTCTTAAAGGGATAGTTCACCTAAAAAATTACATTTTTGTAATAATTTACTCACCCTCATGTCATTTCAAATTTGTATGACCGACTTTCTTCCAAATATTATATCAAAAATCAAGCGTAGCGTTAGTTCTGGCAGGTCACGTTAGTCAAGCTCGCATTAGCTGACCTTCAGCTGATCCCCATCTACCTATGGGACTACGCCACCTATCTAAGCATTCATAAGGTCCCTCGGTATTATCAGCAGTTTTCGCATTGCTCAATAGCTAATTACCCTCCTCCATCCCCAACTCCTCTGTCAGTCGGGATTCAGCCTTCTGATTCTCCTTGAATCAGACTAATTCTAAAATGTGTACATAAAATGATTGAACTTTAACAATATCTGCAATACATTTATGTTAGTTCTGTTCTGTTTACCCTGGGGGGGTTATTTCTGCTCTCTGCAGGGAGTTCTTGCCCAGAACAGAACCATACCGCCAATCCAAACTGTATGCTAATTGTCAATCATCTTTGACGATAGTGGTCCTGACAGAACCACTGGTTTAATGTGTAGCTGTATAGACGCATAGATATATTGGTCTGGTTGCTTGTGTCTGCTGGAATGGTTGGCTCAGATCAGCCAACTCTGGGCTCGGTTAGTAATGTCTGGGCAGGCGAACCAGACTGCATAGCTGCAGTGTTGCAGTGTGATCCGCATCCTAAGAGTGCAGCACTGAGCCATGAATCTGCACACGTCAGGCTGTGTTTCTCTCTGGATCTGAAGGGTTATAACAGGGAAAACTGAAGGGATATGTCTGATTTCTATCATAAAAAAGCAAAATCTTTCAAACCGGCCAACATATTACGTAGTATTAAGTTCTTTACACTGGAAGGCTGTATAAATTCAACCTACTTTAATGCATGTCACATGTTACAACTACTAATTTAAGGTAAATATCTACAGCTGCATTTTCAGGCAGGCTGCTTGATCTTACTCACGTACTCACGTGGGATGTCCAAAACCACTTGCACTCTTTTAAAATTATTGTACTATACTCAGTTGAGAGTTTGGCTCTCTCCGATCTGATCCCATTCAGGAACAGATTGACCTTTTGTAAAGTAGACTTACAAAATAATGGATTTGAAAACAACTGGATTTCACTGCCTGGGTGACTCACTCTCACTGCCAAGCCAAGAGAGTGTGAGGATTGCTATGTGCTCCAACACATTCCAAGATGCTCTGTCTCCCTCTAGTGGATTTTAAGACTTCCAACATTTTTAAATAATCAAGGATTCCAGTCACACTGGCTATGTTTGGAATGGCAAATTAGTTTACTGATTATGCATACTGCATACTGTGCAGTATATATTGAATACTGTCTGAGTTTTAAAAACAGTATGTAGAACAGTATGCGATATGCTTCACATTTGTCACATGACTGAATTAAGTCTTATATTTAATTCAGTAAAAGGAATCAAGTTATCATCTTGGAAATAAAACATTCATTTTTCATTTTTAATCCAATTTTATGTTAAATCTAGCAGAAATAATTCCAGGAAAATCAATCCCACCGAAAATGGGGGTGTGTCATGTTGTGCACATTGCATTGTGGGGTACAACATTCTACGCCATGTGCTCTGCTGTATACAGAGGTGTTTTAGTATTATGTATGTACTGTTATTTGAATTTGTTAACATTCTGAATTTGCTTTTATTTTATATGTTCAGTTTTCATCAGTGTTGCCAACTCTGACCATGGAAAAAAAACACATTTGAGCTAGTCTTGATTAGCAATTGGGCTGGTTTTGTTTTGCAGACCTGGCAACCCTGATTTTCGTTTTACGTTGTGACATCGACATTAAGTTTTATCTGCTTTTTTCATATTTTTGTATTTATTTGTTTAATTTTATTTTATTTTGTAGTGGTAGTAGTAGTTGTTTTAATTAATTCCATTTTTTATTTATTACATTTGAGTAATTTTAGTACTTCAGCATTAATTTAATTCAGTATTTTTTCATCTAAGTATTCCATTTAATATTTATACTTTATTGCAGCTTTATTTCAATTGCCAATGTCAATTTTTTATTGTAATATAACAATAATAATAATAAAAAAACACATGCTATATAGCAAACATGTGACCAAATGTAATAGGAATTCCATACATGTTGAAAATCACATATTGCATACTGCAAAAATAGCACTAGTAGTATGCTAGCATGCTAATCCAAACCTAGCCATTGTATAAGGACAAATGTAGAGTTTTAAAGTTTGTATTTTACGAGTGTGCTCATGTGTTCTTTGTGCACCACATAGTCTAGACAAATTTAGAAGATTTTATTCCTATACGTAAACCAAGACAACAGCCTAAATATACAACTATCTAAGCTACTTAAACACAAGCCCTGCTGTACCACCCATCAGTGCACCCAGGAGAACTCTCTTTTCATTTGAACTCCCTCTTCTGTACATTTATAAAGGAACCAGCTAAATAATAGGCAAAAAAGGTCTGAATGGATAGCATTTGAATACTAGTTTTGTGATCATTGGCTCTGACTGAACACTTTAAACACTTACAGACGCTACTCCGAGAAAAAAAAAAAACATTAAAAAACATGTATGTACAGCTTCCCTTTGTACCAACATCTGTCATAATCCCTTGTCATAACTATGCACCTCAGTAGACTTCTCTGGATTGTAAAGGATAAACTAATAAACTAATGAATATATCACTATGCGAAATAAAGGTTTGCAAAAAATATTACTAGTTGTGTTTGTTTGCTGGTTGTGGAGTCATTGACCAAACTTGCTGTTTACCACTCTTCACTTTAATATAATGAATTTGACATGACAAACACAAATCTGTACAATATTTACAAAGAAATATCCTTTACTTTCACAAGTAGGGTGAATTCAGATAAAATGGGCGACTTTTCTTTTTGACACTGAGATGACTGTCAACAAAGCCCTAATTACCTGAATCCACCCTAAGTCAAAAACCAACATTCATAAATTAAACAAGTTGAAAGACATTCATAAGAAAAACAGGTTGAATGACGTATCTTAGCTTTGTGTGCAGTTTAAATATGTTTTCTGAACACATATCAAAAGCCAAATGAGTCTGAATGTGACTCATTTAGAATCGAATATTAACCCACAAAGGGAAATATGTGACGTTCACGTACACACAGTAGTTAAATACAGGTGTCACTCTTCTTTCGAGCGCTTAATCCCAGTCTGTATAAAAAGAATTGGCCTCTGTAACTGATGTCATAAATTGTCATTAGATATTTAATATTATATGTATGATTTGTTAAGCGTTTCAAAGACACCATTGTATTTTGGCAGAGTAAATGAGCACTGGCTTTAATTCAAGATTATAACATGGCACCCAATATAAGTCATCAGACCTCACAACAGTACAAGTATAGACATATTAAAAAAATTACAAAACAGCACCCTCTTATGGCTGTTGTCTCAAAGTGCATTTGACGTCACTTTGATTTAAAGGGACAGTTCATCTTTTTTTGTATTATTATTATTTATTCATCCTCACAACTTCATCCTCACGAAGGAAGAAATGTAGCAGAATGTCCAAGCTGCTCTTCTCCAAACATTAAACGCAAATGGCATGATATCAACTTTAAATTGTAGTGTGTTCCAGACACATATCTATCATATAACTTCAGAAGTCTTGAGTTATATCTGTGTCTATTTTGGAACTTGATTGACCCTGGAACTATTAAAATGTTCTTCATATGAAGAAAAAAAATTGTCCTTTTAAGAACTGTTCACGGAAAAGTTCTTTAGGGAACCAAAACTAATTATTCTATAGCATAACTGTGATAAATTTAGTGATAAATTCCCATTTGGAACCTTTTTTTCTAAGAATTCTGCAGCTTGAACATTCTACAAAACATTTTATTTTGTTTTCCCCGGAAGAAAGAAAGTCTTACTGCAATGAGGGTGAGTGAATAATGACAGAACTGTCATTTTATGGGCAAACTGTTCCTTTAAGATTGCATTGCTGTCCCAAAAAATGTGGTAGATCCACAAAAGTTAGCATATGTGTTCTCATTATATACATACATGATATATTTCAGTGTGCAAAATCTTTCGCATGGCACCTTTAAGACCCTGAGCAAAACTCCCACAGCGATTCCTCCACAAATTTGTGTGAATCAATATATCTTCAGTAGAATATCTTCTTTCTGAGGACTGAAGATCTCTGTGAATCTGTGCTGTGGCTTTTACTGTTTTTCTCTCCATCCCAGACTCACTGGTACTCCTGAAGACAACAAACAACCATTAGTATTCCACTCTTCTACTTTTAGTATAGGTGTACACAGACACATGCTGCGTCCGAATATGCTTAGTTCCATACTAAACATTACATGAAAAGAGCAGTATGTCTGAACTTTGGATTTGGGAATGGCAGTGAATAGACGCAACATGTTGGATGTAGTGTATACAAATTTTATTCTTATTACCCATAGTAATGGAAGCCAGTTTCTACCCTGTGGAAGCTAATTGCAACACTTTATCTCACAATTCTGACTTTTTCCAATTCTGACGTTTTTCTCTTAATTGCAAGATATAAACTTAATGGGACTCATTCATGCAACTTGCGTAAATATACGAGTAAATTCTGAGTAATTTGCGCGCAAAACAGACCTTCCCCGAAAACTCTCCTCCGGATTCACAAATTCTTCGTAAACGTCCGATTTGATAGTTAAACATGTATATGTTAATGAATTCCAATCATTCGTAATAGGGTGCTCGTGCACGCTCATTCACAATTAACATAACCCCCGCCTATAAATGACAGCTACGCAAATTGCGTGTCCAGGAACGCAGTGGAATATTCTGCTCTACTTTCTCAGGTTTGGCTCCAGTAAATTGCATAAATGCAAAAAAGACTAGGCCTTATTCCTAACAATAAACAATCAATAATGTGTGTGACCACCAAAGAGTTTTTAGCCAGCTGAAAAAATGTCAGGCGCTCTTCTTAAAACGACCAGCTGGTGCAAAAAATAAATCAAGTAATTAATGAATTAAAAATACAAAAATAAAAATTCAAAAAGAGGGCAAGGGCAAATTAATTTGTAATTAGTATGGCAGTGCATCACAATTCAGTGTCATCAGTTTGCCCTAAAGAACACAAAACGTTTTACGCACCATTTACTCGTGGTAGGGAGCAGGTGTACATTTCTTTCGTATCAACTAACATTTTGAAAATACGAACATTTTCATGAATTCGTAAGTTTACGTCAGAATGGCTTTATGAACGATTTACACAAAAATTCGTTCTGCTCGTGTTTCATGAATGAGACCCATTATTGCGAGATATAAACTTGCAATTCTGAGAAAACGTCACAATTGAGAGATATAGGCTTTGTCCAAATACCCACACTTGCAGTCTTTGCACTTGACCACTTGATTACTTAAATGACGTATTTCCTGTATTTGGCCGAAGTCTTCAAGTGGGTGTGAAGACCACAAGTGTCTATCGAACTTTTCATTACCTGATGGGACACACTTATAATGTTGTAAAAATGCAAGTTTCATTTTAATTTGAAATACTTAAAATCTACTTCTAAATGTCTGTTCAGTAGTCCCTATAACATTACATAATTTTAATTTGTGGTGCTTCTAATTAAATAATAAAAAAATGTTGTACAAAATAAATATCACCACTACTCATCTTTGCACCAATAAAAGTAAAAACACAGTTTTTCTACCAAATTATTTGTAATATCTAATTATTATATTAATATTTAACTTACATTGGAAAGGTTTCCGTGACCTCTCGCGAGATCTCGGGCAAAAAGTCTCACGATTTATTTCCAGAACATGATGCATGATGGGATACACTAAGCCTCAAATAGCGCTCCGGAGCGGTATTCGAGATAGTGTGGGTTTAGTGTGCATTAAGGGCACTGCGCTTTGGTATTTTTAAGACCTGGGACAGTCTTGTGCACTTACTTCCTGTCACGCGCACGCACTCTCAAGTGGCCAAGACCACAAGTGTGGGTATTTGGACAAGGGGATAAACTTAGAATTATGAGATAAACCCATAATTATGACTTATTCCGAGTTTATACCTCGCAATTCTGTTCCGCCACACAATGAAAAATTAAAAAGCTAATTGTGACTTTTTTTTTTGCAAAATTCTGTTTATATCTCACATTACGGACTTTTTTTCTCAGAACTGTGCTATTCTGAGTTCACATCAGTTAACTTTTTTTGCGATTCTGACAATTGTACGAAAAAAAAAAAATAATTTTACGGAATATAGAATTGCTTGGAATTGCAAGAAAAAAAAGAGAATTCTGGGATTATATCTCACAATTCTGAGTTCATATCTCGCAATTGTGACTTTTTTATAGTTTATATTTAGCAATTCTGAGTTCATATCTCGCAATTGTGACTTTTTTATAGTTTATATTTAGCAATTCTGAGTTCATATCTCGCAATTGTGACTTTTTTATAGTTTATATTTAGCAATTCTGAGTTCATATCTCGCAATTGTGACTTTTTTATAGTTTATATTTAGCAATTTTGAGTTTATATCTTGCAATTCAGACTTTTCTTTTCTCAGAATTCTGAAAAATCATGAAAATTCAGTTACCTTTTATTTATTTATTTATTTATTTATTCTGTGGCTGTAACAAGCTTCCATACATATTTAAACTATATACATACTTATACGAACATACTTTTTTAGTCGTCGTAAAATAGGTTTTGACTGAGTTTTTCCAGAACAATGTGCTCATACCTGCATGACTGAATGGACCCAGTCGAGCATCTGGTCCATATTGGTGTAAACACCAGGACGATCTTGTCTGGCACAACCCAAACCCCAGCTCACAACACCCACCAACATCCAGCGGCCGTATGAATACACCAGAGGACCACCACTATCGCCCTTAGAGAGAGAAAACATACAAATGTGATTCTAATAGCATGGCAATCGTTTTACCTAATGCTACACAGAAAAGAATAAGACTTACCTGGCACGCATCCACTCCTCCCGTCAGGTAACCTGCACAGATCATCCTGGGAGTGACAATTCTAATAGCATGGCAATCGTTTTACCTAATGCTACACAGAAAACAATAAGACTTACCTGGCACGCATCCACTCCTCCCGTCAGGTAACCTGCACAGATCATCCTGGGAGTGACGGAAGCGCCGTACACTGTGGGACTTGAGCACTGGGCTGGGTCTATAAGAGGGATCTGTGCCTTCTGTAACTTTGGAGACAAATTTCCTGCAGGAAAACACCCAGATAATGTTAAAGTTTGTGGTATTAGAGGTATTTGATGGAAACTGAGTTTGAATAATAAGGGTTCTGTTAGAGAGGGAAAAAAAGCAAGGAACCTTTTTCTGTCAGATGTCCCCAACCGGTCACAACTAAGCTATCTCCTCCTTTGAGGCCAAGATCTTGAGGTGGCAGACATACTGGCCTACGGGATTCTGAATGTGAAAAGTAATAATAATAATTACTACCATTTGGCGTGAAAAAAAAGATTGAAAGATGAAAAAACATTGACCTTGAAGGATTGAAGGGATGTACTGATGTTAAAATTATAGCTGATGCTAATAAGAATTTTATCTATAAATGATTATATCTTATCTGTTAAAATCAATAAGGGGATTTGTATCAACATTATAATATACTGTATAAAAATTGATAAATTGATATTCAATTATTATTGTTCTGAACATATTGTTCTGTTTTCTTAAGAAACATTTTAGCAGAGTACTGTTAAGTCAAATTCCAGCACAAAATATTTGTATTTTTATTAACTATTTAGCACATACAAAAAAGATGTAATTAATTAAATAAATATTTCATATGACTTAATATTTTAATATTAAAAAAGTTTTAATATTCAAATATTTTATCTTATATACCGTACATGTACATTTCTTCAGCACTTCCAAAAATACTTATGGGAATGCATTTCTGTGTCCAAGTTTAAATGGAATGCTGTTGTGTCGAGTTTAAAATAAAGTAACTCAAACTTTCCAGGTTTTGACTCTGATCATATTTAGTTATTATAGTTAGAGTGAGTGAGTGTGTGTAATTAATTATTATTAATAATATAATTAATTAATTATTTATTTTCATACTATTCATACATATAATGATTATTATATATGAAATAATAATAATGATGATGATGATGATGATGATGATGATGATAATAATAATAATATATGGTATATATTAATTCATTTAGGTTGATTCAACAATATTACAAAATATTGGCTTTTAATATAATCAGTGAATGTAGATGTCATTGTTTTTAGGTCACCTTTTTTTCAGTGTACCAAAATGAAATTATAATTAAAAAAAATAATAAATTATAATTAACAAAAAAATATTTTATGAAAGGTTAGCACATTTGTATATAATATTATTATATACATTATGAAATAATATTTTTTTTTTTAGTATTCATATTTTGAATTAAATCAATTAATAAAATGAAAAGCCTGTGAGCTAGAGGGTTAAAGAGATGCATTTGCTTTGTAAGAGTGTTTTACACACGCACCCGCTGAAGCAGTGGGCCGCAGTCATAACCCAGTGCGGAGACACCAGTGACCCTCCACAGGTGTGCTGGCCGACGCTCTGCAGGCTGACCTGCCACGGCCAGTTCTCAATGATAGCGTCCTGTCCGCCTACAATCCGGTCCTGGTTTCTGGACAACCCACACTCTGCTGCAAAATAAAACAGCCAATAATAAATCAAAACAGAAATCACACACAAAATGTGCCTGTCATCATAAGAAATGAATATATGATATTGAAGTTGTATATTCTAATAAAATTTAACAAAACAAATATGTCATAAATATATAATCATATGTCATTCCTAGTACAGTACATCACAAGGGACAGTTTAACCAAATATGAAGCTAAATGTCTCATGTTTTAGCACGTTAAATTGTCCGGTCCAAATGACTGAACACTCCTCTGATGTTGTATTGCTAGTTTTGTGCTTGATGTAATTATCAGTGTGTTTCATTATTGATAATGACATAATTGGCTGTTGGATTAGGACTCCATATTTACCTGAGCATGTTAACGCAACGACTGCTCCCTGACTGCATACTTTACTGAGAAAGAGAGAGAAAACATGGGAGAATGTCAGAATGCATATAACCAAAACTAATAATGGCTACAGAAACCCCAAAAATATGAGGAAACTTGATTCATACTTAACATTTGACAACCAGAAAAATGCCTAATACTTTTGTCTAAATTGTAAACATCATATCTACTGCTTTATCATTTAAAACCCTTCATTTTCTGAAATGTTTAGCTTCAAAAGTGCCCAATCCTTTCAATGCTACTGTATGTGCATAAGTACAGTGTATAAATCTACTCACAGATCTGATACGGTCGACTGGAAAGTCTGGGGTTTAGATGAGCCCACCGTACAGAAAGACATCTTCAGATCAGTCGGCAATATACCCACTTGAACTGCACTGAAAGTGGGTTTACTAAAAACAGAAGAAAAAAAAAACACAAGACAATGACATTGAGATCAAATGATGAGCTGTATTCTTACATGTATTTAGAATTCTAAAATGTTTACAGGAGGTTTTCATCCAAGATGGATATTAGTAAACTAAAACTTCAAAACTTTTGTTACTTGAAATATACAACTTGTGAAATAAAATATGAAAAAGCTTATTTTCTTTCAGTCAGCTAGTTGAAACTAGCTATAAACTATACCAAAATAACTAAAACTGAAATAATAATAAATAAAAATCATAATATATATGTATGTGACCCTGGAGCACAAATATATATATTACTTTTTATTTTTATTTAATTTTATTTCAATATTTCATTTCATTTTTTTTCATTATTTTATATATGCATATTCATATTGTGAAAAAAACAAAACTAATATAAATGGTAAAAATGCACAACACAATTACTAAAACTAACCAATATTAAAATGAAAACAGAAAATAAAGAACTAAAAAATAAAAATATTAATAAACCCAGTAGTATCTCAAATAATAGAATAATCCAAGTCTTGTTATTCTAATTTAATTTTCTAAATCAAATAGTGTTGCAAACTTCGTGTATTGATGTCTTTCTTGTTGAAACAGGAAGTTGTTAAGTGTGTGTTTTGTGGACCAAAACTCACGCTGAGTAGCCCAGCTGTTG